AATGTCACCGTAGTGACGTTTCAGAGATTAAACTGAAAAGAACAGATACCTTGGAAAGGTACAATTAGCAAGCTGTCGGAACTGTTGAGGGCATGTCGCGCCAAACTCACTACACTTGATCGTGGGGGTTGTTAGCTTGTTGTCGATGGTCGAGGAGTGTTCTGATGTTGACATACCTAAGCCAAAAGGCAAAGAGAGCTAAAGAAAAAAGAGAGGAAGTTCGAAGGGGAGAAAGGAAATTTATAGAGGGGTCGCGGGCAAAGCGCGCTAGTGGGATCAATGCTTGGCGCACTGTGATTGGCCGGCGGAAAGCAGCCCCAGGACGTGCAGGCAAAGTGAGAAGCAGCTGCTGCCTACAACCACAATCACGATATATCAACGCGCATTCACTTCGGTTGTCCTCGGACAGTGGCCGCCCGCCTGTATCTGGATCGATCTGGTTACTTCGGCTGGGACTTCGCCAGACGTTGAACCCGATCAAGTATACTGATTGCGGCAGTGCGGCACTCACGGAATGAGCGATTGGAAACCCCATTTTCGGAGTGTGTGCCCAATCTCACAGTGAAGAAATGCAATGAGCCGTCGTTTCGAGTGGACTTGGACCGCTGTGGATGACCACTCTCAAAGTGCGCCCCGTTGACTCGTCCAGGCGATGACATACAATGCCATTTATTACGGAAACGCGCAGTTGTCTCGTCTGTGCCTATGGATGGAGCAACTCGTTACATATCTCCCGTTCCTGGAATGCTGTCTAGTCAAGCGGCACCCAGTGTCGAACTATTGCGAGACGAGTTGGCACAAGCCTCCTAAGGCAGACAATGTCCGCGTCTTTCGAACTCCTCTACTATGCTGAGAAGCCAGAGCAGCGAAGGCGACATTGAATGAGATGAAAAGCCTTTTCCCACTGTCTCTGCAACCCGTTTTGCTGCAAGGCCGACCAATGTCGAAATGCAGTGGAAGCAGGCACAAACGGGTTCGCAGAGGCAGACAGCATGCTCCTCGTGTCTCCGCAACGCAGTCAAATCAGTTGGCAGCGAACGTAATGATAGACCGAGAACTCACCCACACGAATCGCTGGAGATTGGCACCCGGCCCTCGGCATTTCTGCAATGTTGGCGAACCACGAGGGCAACGAATGGTACGGCGACTCAAGTGAGACCCCAGATCGGTCTATAGAAGCAGGCAGAATTTGCGCTGCGTCTCTTCAATGTTGCCAAGCTGAGCGGCACTGGAAATAACGATGCACCAGATACTTCTTCGATCAATGTGGTGGGCGCGGCAATGGGCTACAGCTGGTCTTTGGAGACTTCGAGCACGCGTGCATTGGACACTAACACGAGGAATTCCATTACAGCTCGATGTCCAGCGCCCGGGATGCAGTAGGGACTGCCACGCAGCTCGTGCTGCTGCCAAAGCCGCTTATTGAAAGGAGCCGAAGTTGGCAAGACAACACTGAAGCTAGCCAGGTTTCGATACCTTACAGATCTGGAGAACATCAAGAACAGCATGCTACTGCTTCAATGATTTGAAACGCATGCAGTACAACGATCTTCGCACTCGAGAGCCACCGCACAATACTTAGAACGCGATCTGTGGGCGTAAGCATTGCCGTCTTCTATGATGAGCACCTAAACGCATTGCATTGGTTGCTAGTCCTAGCGCTCGCAAGCTGAATAGCAGCTTCCATTTGCAGCGTCAAGCGCTAAGCTACCGCCCGTCCCAATCCTTCCGGCCACCAACTTGCTCTCAAACTTCAACTAAATCCACGAAGGAGCGCCGAACACCCTCGAAAACAAGTATTGAATCCTGAATCAACATCTCTCCGATCAGATCAGGCAATTCAAGAACGTCATACTACAGCATGTGGCTTGTCAGCGCGGGCTGCAGGATGCATCTCAATGCAACTGAACAGTATTTGACATATTTATCTAAACATGAGTTGAAGACCAAGCATTGCCCAGGCAAGCAAGCTTTGAACGAAGCATCGGTCGCTGACAAGGTACAGTACCTGCATTTCTGAAGGCTCCATTGCCCTCTGGGATGGAGAACCATTGCCAACGGGAGGCTCTGAGACACGACAATCGTCTGGCAAAGCGCCGCTCCCGTAAGCCACGTCACTATCACTGGAGACTATGTCTAATCCCGTGGCGTTGACTCAGGTCAACGACAGCAGCTTCGAAAACCGATTGCATTCGAAGGCAAGAAAGCACCCGACGACTCCTGCTCACATATACGGTCTTCAAAGTACGATTAAACTCTGTCCCATGTTCCGACGCATAGGCTGCGTCACAAACTCGCTGATTCAAGTCCCCGGATAGCACAACGGAGGAAACGCAGAACAAGTCGCAAATTGCAATTGCATACGAAGAGATCTCCGATCTCTACGACGTATCCCTTGAGCAATCGCCTGGTGCGCTCGATGGTTCGTACGAAGCGTCGCATTCAGACGTAGCAAATGTCCAGTGGCATCAAAATGTATTGCCTTCACTTCCGGATCCCGAGCTCCAAGGCTAAAATTTCATGATAGCAAATATCGCACGATGCACTGATCGAGCACACGCCTGCTTCAACCGATTCCATTATCGACACAGTAAGCTATCACAAGCCACTTTGTTTCAGCTATGACTCTAACAGCACACATACATCTTTCCTGCCGTGGCAAGCAATTCCAAACTATTCATGCCCGGATCCCCTACTGCACAAGGCTGTCGCTCGAGGCCATATCGATGTGGTCAGAACCTTACTGGAGAACGGTGCTCGAATTGACGCAACCGATAGGTTCGGGGCACCAGCGCTGCTGGTTGCTGCACGATGTCGAGATGTGGCGATGATGGAGTTGCTACTACAGAATCATGCCGATCCTAATTGCGCAGACGCGATTGGCACAACACCGCTCGAGGTGGCAGTGGAGCTGGCTAATAATAGATAGATAGATAATTCTTATACGCCGGTCTACCTCTTTTAACTAGAGTAAGCAGTACGCTCTAT